ACTGATGATGAGTACTTGGCAATACTTGAAACAGCGTTGTATGGTCAGCCAAATTTCAATAAATTAAATTAAATTTTTGTCCTTGTCATTTATTTTCTATTCGAATCCGTCTAACTTTTAATATTGTATATTTTAAGTAAATAGGTTTAATTTTTTTAAAAAACATTTGAATACAAGTTATATTATTAGAAACTATTAAAAACTATTGGAAAACAAACAAACCTATAGGTATGAGTGGTAATCAAAATTTAACAAAAAGTTTTTTATTTTTCTTAAAAATATATATTTAGGTAGTACAGGTTATTATAAATAGTATCACAGTATAATAACCTGCACTACTAATATTTCGTCCCGAAATGTTTGATAAGCAACAAATTCTTAAAACGAGTTTTGCTGCCGTTTCTTTTCTTACTTCTTAAAAGCGATTGTACTGTTCGTAAAGTCTTGGTTCTGTTGAATTTGTATTATCATCAATATATTTTAACATGTTAAATATTTCACTGCACCTAATTCCATGTTAACTTCTCCAAACCTCTCTTATCAGATTTTTTTGACCTCTAAATTGTTACATCTAAGTGCAGTGCGCACAATCTGTGTTTTTACAAACTTTTATCTTAAAAAATAAACCGTATTTGGGTGAAAAAGTTTTAATAGCTTAATGATAACTAAAATTATGTAGAATATATTTTTGTCTTGAACGAATTTTTGAACACAGGTCCCATGTGTTTAGATGGGTTAAATAATTAAATTGTAATGAACTGTATTAGAAATGCATTTGTCACAAGGAAATGATGCTAAGTCATCAACAGTATCATTGCGAGCCAAAATCAACAACATTTCCCTACATTTAAATAAAATATCAATTATATGTGAGCACATATAAGCATAGTATATTATGTATTAATTAAAGAAAACATTTTAATTTATTTAAATATACTTAGATCAACGTAAGAGTATTTAAAAAAACAACAAATTTTATTTGAGTGAACAAACTGTTAACATTGAAATCCGATTAAATAGAATATTTTAAGTCAATTTAGTTTATTTGATTTCCGTTAAGTCATTTCATTTTAAGCATAAAAGCATCAGATTCTTTTAAGTGAATTTCTAAAATAATTTTAGTTTTCGCAATCAAATAACTTTATGTGATATTGTATTAAAATAATGTACAAAATATTTGGATAATATCGTATATATAAAATAAATTTTATTAATGTGAAAGTAAAGTAAATAATATTTAAATTATTATCACATTTTTACAATACTTCGAAGGACCCATTTTTTATGATGAAAGGATAAGGTGAAATATAATGGCCTTTTACATCGACCAGACTTTGGCAGAAAATATAGTAATCTCATAAATAAATGTTTGTTATTTCTTTTATCAATGCATATAAAAAGTATCTTTAAATAAATAAAAATGTTTCCACCTTCAATGCTTGCAGTACTTTGTGTCACTCAAAAGTGCAGTCAACTTTGGTGCTTGCACTTTATCGCTTATTTGCTCGTAATTCCTGATGTTGGCCATTGCAAATGTGCTTTGTGTGTGTGTCGTTGGTTGTATGTCGTTTTGGCCATTTTTTTTCGAACGAATACTGCAACTACTTCAGACGCTCATCGTAAAATAAAGAAAAATAAATTAAAATTCGAAAATTCTTTAAAGAGCTGCCAAGTGTTGCAGTTAAATAATTTTAGTGTTTAATTACATTTAAAAAAATATTGAAATTATCACGCACGAAAGTGCTTAGCAAATAGGACATTGTACCGAAACGGCGCAAGACTTGTCTAACTCTTCGGTCAAGGCAATTGTGCAGAATTTTGCTTAAGCTATTATTGAACTTGTCTTTCTGCTATAAATACATACATCACTTAAAATAAAGAAACTGTTTTTTTTTTGTTAAATGTATTTAGTATATTGTAAATTAATTAAGGGAACAAAGGATATTTGCAGATTCAGTGCTTAATAATTTTTGCTTTTATTACTTCTTAATGTACATGCAAAAAATAATGAGTTAAATAAACAATGAAAATAATAATGAGAGAGAAGGAACCATGGTACAAAGTGACATCAGATCTCTTGTGCTACCAATTGATATAGTCTTATAAGTTAACCTGGACAAATTACGGTTGTTATTTACTTATAATATCTATTTTATAAATAGAATTTTAAGGAAATAGAAAGAACGTACGAAGATACTATCATATTTGAGGAGTATTAATTTTTTAATGTAATTTTATTTTTGTCACTACTGAAGTAGATGGTTCACATCACATGAGTTTGATAATAATGTTCACTCTAAACTTAATAATAATTTGTGAAAAACAATTAATTTCAATTATTAAAAATATTAATAA